ACAAACAAGCCCTCTTAACTGCATTATACCAAGCACCATCCCTTGCCAAGTGACCACATAATCTTATTGTTGCTCCTTCTGTCATTCCTCACCTCCTTACTACCCACCAATTATTCTGTGTCTATAATTAGTTCACACTGCTGCAGCAAGAGATACTAACTCACCACCTTGGGCCTGTCTGAACATTTCCTGAAATCAGAAGGGTTTTGTAGGGGATACCAGCCATTGGTGGCAAATACTTGGAAACCCCCTCAGAAGAAGGGATCTTATGTTCTTTCTCTTCAGAAAGACTCTTATCTACCCTCAGAAATCATCACTAGTTGTATTCCTGCTATCTCAGGCCCTTACTTAATGATATCTCTGACAACAAACACATCTTTGCTTTCTCAATGCAGTTCTCCTGGCATCAGTGGAACTGTTAAAGGTTACCCAGGAGAACATGATTTACCCATAATAAGCACCTAATGTATGTAATAAGGTATGTCTGTTTGATTTAAATCACTTTATTTTTAAGAAGCATTCATCATCAACAGAGACTCCTTAATATTAAACCAGTTACTCAAATTCAGCTAAAATTATAAAATTTTCTTACATTTCTATATTTCTTTATGGCTTCATTCAGAGAATAAGTAAATTCTGTACTGCAATTTGCAGTGCAGTACTTGGAATATTATAAGGTTTCTTCTAAATTTAACTTAAACTCATATTAGGGATTTAATCACCCCAAGAAAATATTAGGTAGAGTTATTCTACTTGTTGTGTGACCCTGCTATAATCTTACTTTGTAAGCATTCTTGAAAGCATGAAATTTAGGACTTAGAGTTTTACAGTTGTTTTACATCTGTTCACTACTAGAAACATTGGATAGTTGATCCAGTGATGCATTTTTATAAACCTTACTGAAACTACAAACACGAAAACGGTCTTTTTTAAGGCTATAAAAAAATATCTAAAGACCTTTTAAGTGTTAGACAATGCACTGATTACATTGCCCTCTATTTTCTAGTTTAAAAGAGGCCAAATGAGCTAAAAACATTTACAAACCTCTACTATTGAGCATAACTAGAATTAAAATGTCCAGTACTCAACTGTAGGAAAACACAGAATAACAGGGTATGCTGAGTTGGAAAGCACCTACAAGGAGCATCTAGTCAAAGTCCTGGCCCTACACAGCATCATCCTCAAAAGTCACACTATGAGCACAAGAGAATCCTCCAATTGTTATCTGCACACCATAAACCAATACTCCAATTATTATCTGCACACCATAAACTGGATACATAGTTACAGGATCACTCTTTGTTTTTCCAAGACTCTGATTTCAATAAGTCCACAGCATAAATCCATTGCTTGTGGAAAGAATCAGTGCAAAGGAGAAAATGCCACGTCTTCATGGCTTCTATGGCTTTGGTTGCTTTTTTTCTTTTTCTTGCCCAAAAGCAAGGTCATCACTAGTTGTAAGCTCCCTCCTCTACAAGTTGCTTATTTGAGACCCCAAGACCTGACCTAGAGGAAACCCTGAGCACTCCTCCTGAGGAGTAAAAGCTCTGAACGTTTGAGAAACACTGGAGAAAGGGATCTCAAGCTGATGAACAGATTCCTTCTGTGTGCTGTCTTTTGTAAAATGGGTGTACTAATGTTGTTTATCTGAAAGCCATTACACCCAATGTTATTCAGGAATAACTTGAAGTGGAAGGCCCCACAGAAGAACACCCAAATACAGAAGAGATACCCCATTGGGATCTACAGCACTTCAGGTATGAACTGGATGGATACAGCATTTAAGAGAGGAAACCAGACTGTAAACCACAGAGACAATGATGCTACAGGCTCTAATTTGGGGGAAGATCCCTGTTTCATGTTGTTAAGTTGTTACCCTTTCTGATAATTGTATTTCCAATGTGCACACACGTTCCTGAAAAGTGATTATATTACCAGCTGCTTGTCTGTTCAAAATGTTTAGGACTATCTGAGCTCAGTACAGTACCTGCACTGTTTCCTTCTTCATTTTACTTTGTCACAATTAAGAATGGAACTTTCTACTGCACTTCTACATCTGAAACTATATGAAAAGGAAAACCTGAAACAAAAGAAGTAATCTATTAAGAAGATACTGATTTCATTTGTTGTGGACAAATTAGAAAATAGAAGTTTACTTTGTCATTAAGCAGATGATGGGCAATCAAATGAAAACAGTAATGACCAAAAAGGCAGAAAATAAACCATAGTAAAGTACTAGTATATAAGAAATTCTTTCCTTTGCAAGTAGTAGTCCAGAACAGGTATAGCATACCAAAGTCACAAATCACCATCATTGATGAAAGTTTAGGCTCAGAAAATCAGTTGTTGGTTCTAAAAAGGCTACCCATATATCACACATCTCAGGCAACAACTGCCACCCCAAATACTACACATAATCCCTGACCAGTCAGGAGCAACTACATGGAAACAGGGTGTTTTAGCTAGCATGCCTGCTGTTTAGTCATTAGACTTCTTCCGTGTGAAGACTTCCAGCAAGGATACCAATTAATGCAAATGGCTTGTAATTAACAGTGGTGACTTCTGTAACGCAGATACCTTCTCAGTATGAACAGGAATGAGCCACCAACTCATTTCACATGAGGCAACCATCCATCAGGAGGTAAAGATTTGCAGTTAATAAAAGCCCATGTGAGAATGAAACCAGTGACTCAGAAGAGTTATGCATTGTCTTGCAGTACTGGTCCCCAGTGCTGGCACCACTAATCTAACTGGATCAGATCATTGTTAATCCTTTGTTTTACTGAGAATGTGAAAATTCTCTAAACACTTACCTCACATTTGATTTCCTCAGAGATGCAAGCTGTGTGTAATAAGTGTACTGCCTCCCGACAGAGCACCTTCTTCATTACTTGGAGGGGAATCCACTCCCTCAGCACACCTTTTGTTTTCACCTGTCCAGCTCCACTCCTGTCTCCTCTTGCGAGTATGATGCCTGCTTCGACTGCCTTCACTTTCATACTGCTAATCCTCCATTTGACCCACTTTCCCAGATGCTGCTGCTGATATGCAAGTTCAACTGTCTCCCTTGTCTTCTCAGCTCCATTTAATGTGGCCAGATTGATTTTTTTCTGTGATTTTGAATTTCTGCAACTTGACTCATTCCCTGCTGTGTCTTGATTCCTGTTACTGTCTTTTCTCTGGTCACAATACTCAGTCTTTCACCTCTGGCCATACCTGCTTTTACCACTAGCAGAGCAGGTACTAGCCATCCTCTCTGTCATCTTACAAACAGCTTTTTTCATGCAACTCATGAGATAACACTGGAGCTTACTCCCCTGCTCCAAAAATATGAGCTCCCACTTAGTCCTCTTTTATTGGCAGACAATGGATCAATTATCATGGATCAATAATCCTCTGTGGCTTCTAATCGCTTTTATTTTCTACCGCAGAGACTATTCCCTTCCCCTCCCCAGGTTAGTGGTGGACCCTGTCCAGAGTGGCGAAGGTGAGAGGAAGGGAGGCTCCCCGCTGCAGGCCCTGCTACGAGGGCACCCGGGGCCTGCCCTGGCCCTGCCTGGGGCCGGTTCCCGCAGCCAGAGCCATCCCCGGGCAGCTGCCGGCCCCCTCCGGGCCTGCCGCGGCCCTGTCTCAGCCCTGCT